GATTGCCCAACCTTCCTTCCGAGGAGTGGCTGGTGGTTCAGCTGGTGGCTGGTTAGCAGGCAAGTGTCTTAGCCACTATGAGATATGGTAATCCCAGTTTTTGAAGTATTTGGAATTGGGAGAGCCTGGAGCAGGTGGTCTAGAAGGAAAGGGAGTGAAATAAGGGGTCATGGTGGGTGTCTGCCTCCTGGACCTCAGGGGTGCAACTTCTCCCCACCTTGGGTCAATGTGCCAAGGTCGCCCCCTCAGAGCTGGTGCTGAGGTCTGGTCTGTGAACCCTGGGACAGGTTGGGATTGAGAGGGCTTCTCATGCAGTGCGCAGGAAGGTGGCATGGAGATGAGTCTTCCTGTCTTACTAGGTTCTCCATCAACTTCATGGTGGGGCAGGGCCCGGGGGCAGACATCGCCTTCCACTTCAATCCCCGCTTTGATGGCTGGGACAAGGTGGTCTTCAACTCGCGGCAGGGCGACAATTGGGGCAGCGAGGAGAAGAAAAGGAGCATGCCCTTCCACAAGGGTGCTGCCTTCGAGCTGGTGTTCATGGTCATGGCCGAGCACTACAAGGTCTGATGGGAGGGTGGGTGAGGCTTCTCTTCCCGCCTCCCTTCCTCCTTCCTTCCTCCCCTCCCTTCATCCCTTTCTGCTTTCTCTCCCCTCCTCCCTTCCCTCTCCTTCATGCCCTATTTCCACCCTCTCTCCTTTCTTTCCTTCTTCTTTTTCCTCACTCATCATTTTGTGCCTTAGACCCCTGTGTTGGTCTATGCACACATGGTTCATGGCTCCTGACAGCTACACAGGACTCACTGATATCTGTCCTCCCTCAGTTTACTGTCCCCCTTGCCCCACCTCCTGCTTCCCATAAATAAAGCTGCAGTGAACATCCTCATTCGAGCTCCCACATTACCCAAGAGAAGGGTCTCCTGGGCTGTGGGAGGATTGATGGATTGGAGAAGCTACGTGGTCTTCACTCACATGTTGTTGTTGTTGTTGTTATGTGCCGTCGAGTCGGCCCTGACTCATAGCGACCCCTCCTTGGGTTTCCGAGGCAGTATCACTACGGAAGT